CAGCATTGTAGTGATTCTCGATCGTTATAGTGGAAGTACGTCAAAGCCTTTAGACGCATCAGTGCAAACGTCTGCTGAAAATAACTTTCTTAGAACGACTGCATCGCTTACTGGTCCCCCTTTTACCTGCAAAGTAATTATGTCGCTTTTCACGAACGGATCATCGGTCAACAAATCTTTCATATGTTTCGTTTTCAGATTCAGTTCTTCAACAGCCTACAACGGTTATAAATGAACCCTGAAACAAAAACAACTTATCAATAGAATCAGTGTACGTCATATGAATAGACGTTGCCCGTTGTTCGAATGGCGATTACATGACTGTTGTTCGTGAACACACGGTAGGTGACTGGACAATGATAGTCGCCTAAACGTCACAATGTACCAAAACAATAAAATTCAAGGCTGCTGGTAGCAGATCGATACCAAACATGTCTTAAATCAGAAAAAAAAATAAAACAGAAACCATGGCAAAGAAGATGCGGCCAACTTCGACCACGCAGTAATAACAATATTTACTTTATTTCTTGTTAGAGAGTAAACTACCGATACAGCAAAGCTTAACTGCTGCGGCCCTGTTACCTCTAAAAAGGCTGCTATAGCCTAGACGTAATTGCTATAGCATGTCTGTGGACGAAAGTAAGTTACCTTAGCTTCGTGAAAACGACATGCATCATACACATGCTTATTAAGTCAAACTTAAAAACACACATCACACGCATTACGTACAATTAACGTTAAATTACCTTCTTTGTTTTTGTAGAAATTCAACTTAATCAAGGAATTAGAATGCAAAGGCTCGCCGGTGACCGGATTCTTCCCATACTTTCTTAGGTACGGTAATATGTATCTAAAATGACACGCGGTGTTCATTAATAATAATATAAAAAATAGAAAAATCATTCGTGTGAATTAAGTTCTACATCAAGTCGAACACTGATGATCAACAGCAGACGGCAATGTGAAACAAATTCCCCAACCTAACACCCAGCGTAAACATACTACATAAATTCAATGTTCACCATTCAGTGTAATGTTTAACACTGTTGCAGTTTAAATGAGGATTTTCGATTACCTTTCAAAAAAGGTACGAATCAGGTAAGAAAGTGAATACAGAAATAATAATATCAAGAACCAACGGCTTTAACTTTACTCAGTCTTGCTAGTTGTGAAAACGTCGTTTATTCACTGGGTAGAAAATCAAATGTCTTATAGATGATCACGAATATCTAGCCTACCGTGGATGTCTCATTTAGATGTACCAAATGTCTCACTGCCATTATTAGATCTACCTCCTTCCAGGTATCGTCCTGATATTAGTTGATCAAAAAACATCATCACTTCATCACCGTCGTACATAAACACTGTTATTACTGTTGTCTACTTTAAAAACGCATATCAAATACTGAACTTTTGATCATGCTATGAAAGAAGGCGGCTTAAGAACGAGTTAAGCATATGGTAATATAAGACTCTTAAAGATTACTAAAGACATACTACATCTTCCCTCAACCGAAATGTTTCGTTGAAATTCTATGAAAACGAGACCACGGCTGAAACTTCTGAGTAAATGAGCTCTACTCTTCGCTACCACTAAAATCGACGATTCTTATTGTATATGGCAGTATATCCAAAGGCTGCTATTATGGATTAGACACAGTTTGTGAATTAGCAACAGTTTCGTGCCCTCAGGCGGTAGAAGACTCAAAGTGAAGCTATCATTTGCGGAGCCTACCATCCATTCCATGCCAAGAGACATCAGTATAAAGAAGTGGATATCAATGTTTCCGGTATTCAGCCAATTCAATAAGCTTCATGGCTCAATGCTCAACGTTGAACAATAGCATTTCTTCAATACAGCCCCG